CTCCCACAAAGCCAGCAAACTGGTACTGTATCTAACATCCCAGCAACATGGCTAACACCGTTTGACCCACCTTGGAGATCCCCAGAGACTCCGCTGCACCCAACTTACTGGCCCACCCAAACTGCTTTTCCATATGAATAACTAACTGGTATTGGCTCATGCTTTACAACTTCCTAAGTCCTCTCAGACAAGTAACAGCTGGCCTCGGGGAGCCCCAGGCCCAGAACTAGCAGCCTATATTCACAGCTTGGCTTTACCTGGAGAGTCCAAGCCCAGCACAAGTAGCAGCCATCTCAGATTGCTTTATAACTCAGGAAGCATTGCCCCAGGCAAAACACAGGTGGAGGCTGATCTTGACCTGAACCACCTGGAAAACCCCTACCCCAGTGTACCCCATGGACAGCTACAGACCACGTTAGAGAACCACCACCCTGCCCCTACACAGCTGATCCTCCACGGAGGGCAGAGATTGGTGGTAAGAGGGAACAGCCAATCCTTGCAGCTGAATGGCCCAGGTAAATCCCTCCCATTAATCGGCCAACAGCAACCAAGGCTTAACTACAAGAGGATGGTGTACTCAGCCCACAAGAAGGGTGTACCTCAAGTACCCAGCTTGGATGATAGGGGAAACTGTGCCACTGGACCCTACAGGGCAGGTAATACATTAGGCCACACTACCAAGATGCAGAGTCAAAGCAGCTCTACCTAACACACAGAAACAAACACACAGAGGCTGCCAAAACAAGAAGACAAAGAAACATGGCCCAAGTGAAAGGACAGATCAAAACTCCAGAAAAAGAGCTAAACAAAATGGGCATAAGCAATCCATCAGATGCAGTTCAAAACACGGGTTCCGTACTCAAGGAACTTAATGAGGACCTTTTCAGCATAAAAAAGATTGTGTCAGAAATGAAGGAAATACTAACTGAAATAAGGAACAATTTACAGGAAAACAAAAGTAGAGCCAAAGCCAAGAATCAAGTCAATGATTTGTAACACAAGGAAGCAAAAAACAACCAGTCAGAACAACAAGAAAAAAAGAGTGCAAAAAAACAAAGATAGTGTAAGCAGCCTGTGGGACAACTTTAAGCAATCCAACATTCGTTTCTTAAGGGTGCCAGAAGCAAAAGAGAAAGAGCAAAAAATTGGAAATCTGTTTGAAAAAATAATGAAAGAAAACTTCCCTAATTTGGTGAAGGAAGTAGACATACCAGTCCAGGAAGTATAGAGAGTCCCAAACAAGATGGACACAAAGAGGCCCATCCCAAGACACATCATAATTAAAATGCCAAAGGTTAAAGATAAAGTGATGGGAGGAGGAGTGTGGGAAAAGGGTTGAGAGGTGAGGGGATTAAGAAGTACAAATAGGTAGTTACCGAATAACCATGGGGATGTAAAGTACAGCATAAGAAAGAGAGTAGCCAAAGAACTTACACACGTGACCCATGGACATGAACAAGGATGGGGATACCGCCTGAGGGAGTGGGGGAATGCTGAGTGGAGGGGAGCAAAGGGGGGAAATCAGGAAAACTATAATAGCATAATCAATAATTTTTAAAAAAGAATCACAGCACATGAGAGATGGGCTCAGAGGCTCTTGGAAGAGATGATGGCAGGAAGCTAAAGACCATCCCCTTAACCTTTCTTCCAAAAACCTTTCTCCTACACACAGTATAGTGCAAAGAGCACAGGTGTTGCTATAAACTGACTGTGTCTTCCCACTAATTCACATATCGAAGCCCTGCACCCCCCTGGCAATAGGATGGTATTTGGAATTGGGCCCTTGAGAGGTAATTAGGTTTATATGAGGTCAGGAGGGTGGGGCCCCATGACGGGATTGGCGCCCTTCTAAGCAGGGACACCAGAGAGCTTGCTCTCCCCTGGTGTACATAAAAAGGAAGCCACGTGGACAAGCAAGATGACAGGCAGGAAGAGAGCACTCCTCACACTTCCAGCTGCCAGACAGCGAGAGATTGTGTATTGGTTAACCACCCAGTCTATGGCATTTGTTATGGCAGCCCGAGCAAACTAATACAGGTGTCTAAGTCAGACAGGAGCTCAAATCCTGACTCCACCCTTCATGGCTGCATGATGTTAGACAAGTTATTTTGTTGTTTTTTAAGTTGTCTTTTTATCTATTGATTTTTAGAGAGAGATGAGAAAGAGAGAAACATTGATTTGTCGTTCCACTTACTGACGCATTCACTGGTTGATTCTTGTATGTGCCAGACTGGGGATCAAACCCACAACCTTGGCATATTGGGACGATGCTCTGACCAAAGAGCTACCCCGGCCAGGGCCTGTTTTGTTTTCCTGATCCACAATTTTGTGGATATACCACTGGTGACAGTGGTTGCCCCATGGGGCCGTGAGGAAGTAAATGTGATCATGCAGGAGAAGGGTACCTACAGCTTTTCCTAGGGAGTTCCTAGAGCTCCCTTTGCTGCCCACCCCCGGCCCATGTGGCCTTAGCGCTAGACTCTGGGATGCGACACACCCATCGGCCATGCCTCCCCCCACGCATGCCACAACTGACCCTATAAACAGGTAGCCTGATGGTCCAAATTCATCCCACGGATGTGTTTTGTTTGGTCTGGACCAATATTTGAGAAAATGTGGATTATTTATCAACACTTAAAAGTCAGGAAATTTCATACAAAAATCCCAGTTTCCTGTTCTTGAGACATCAAACAAGATGTCACTGAACCTGCTCTTGGCCGTGGTAATCCCCTTCGGGCAGGGGGTGAGCTCTCACCTCCTGGCACCCAGGCCTCGCCCATTGGAAGACCTGCTTGGCCCCTGAAGGCTCCTGAGTCCGCAGCCCCTGAGCTAACTAACGGGGCCGGTGAGATCTGGCGAGGCCTGTATTTTTCCTAGCTGCCCACAAACAAGAATTTTAAATACAATTTCAGGGTTGGTCTCCTGAAGTGAGGAACAATTAGCAGATTCCTGAGTCACTGTTTTTATTTATACTTCTATTGTGAGCTAAAGAAACTTCACGGAGGGGAGAGGCCAGGGTCTTAGTTCTTAAGAGTCAAACTGAGAACCCAGCTCTGCCTCTGCCACTCAGCTTCATGGGACCTCAGTTTCCTCCTGCATGAAAGGAGGACTCAGGCTAGATAATAGTTATCAACCATTTCCACATTCGTGTAATTATTATGTGAAATTCAAGCACCTGGGTAGAAATTTAACACAACTCTGTGTCCTTCTGAGCTCTAAAGGTTTTCATGAAAGCAGAGCTCTTAAAATACCTCACTGACCCTTGGCACGGGTCTTGACTAAATGTAAACAGGACCTGAATAATGGCCTTGTTTATTGTTCTGCCCACTCCAGGGTTGGGTCTTTGCCTTGATGTGTTGTACTTAACGCACCAGACAGGAACGAACACCAGGACATTAAAAGACCTGGTATTTAACCTCTTGTCCTGAGAGACTCGCCTACCTCTCTGCCCTCAGTTCGCTCCATTGCCCAACCTCTGGTGCTCTGTGCACATGGGTCTTCTCTCAGTTCCTTGCTCATTGCTACCACAGGACCTTTGCACCCGCAAAGGTGCAAATTTCCTGGCTTTTGCAGGTGCAGTTCCCACCACCTGGAGCCCTGCACTCCTAGTTCATTCCATAGATGCGTCACATCACCATTCCTGGTCTCCTTGGCAGGACAAGGTTGTCGTGACAAACGCTTTCATCACTCAGCTGCTGGCACCACCTGTCACAGCTGCACCTCTACGCATTGTAGGTGTGATTGGTTGACTAGTGATTATCTCCCAGATGGAATATAAATTCCAGGGGAGCAAGGTCCACATCTGTTTTTGCTCAGTGTTGTCTCTCCAGCGCCTGGCCAATAGGGAGGCTCAAATCTTTGATGAATGAGTGAATGAATGAATGAATGAAAAGCTGACACTCCTCTACTGAGAAGATTCTGAAATATAGTGAACTCCTCAAGGACCTGCCCTGACCGGTATAGCTCCATGGGTTGGGCATTGTCCTATAAAGTAAAAGGTCAACAGTTCAATTCCCAGTCAAGGCACATGCCTAGGTTGCAGGTTCAGACCCCAGGTGGGGCACGTAGGAGAGGCAACCGATCGATGTTTCTCTCTCTCTCTCTCTTTCTCCCTCACTTCCCCTCTCTCTAAAAATAAATAAATAAAATCTTTTTTAAAAGTCCTCCTCGAGGACCATGTCTTATTGAGGGTTGTATTGCCAAAAGCTGAAGGGATGACAGTAACTGAGACTGATGTTAAAAGCTACCAGGACCAAATACTTAGTGTGTTCAAACCCTGTTCTAACAGATTAATTATATAACAACTCAATTTAACCTGTGCAAGAATCCTATGGAGGAAGACACATTTTCTATCCCCGTTTTACATAAAAGGAAACTGAAGCACAAAAATGTTGGTAAGTCACTTAGAAAAAAAAACAGCAATAAAATCCTAAGCAGCCTGGTTCCAACCACGAGGCATCTTCCCTGCCATGGTGCCTAATAGTTGAGCAGGACACAGTCAGTGTTCACAGGATAGAAGACATCTACCCTCAGCCCTGGCTGGTGTGGCTCAGTGGATTGAGTGCTGGCCTGCAAACCACAGGGTCACCGGTTCGATTCCTGGTCAGGGCACATGCCTAGGTTGTGGGCCAGATCCCCCATGTGGGGTGCACAAGGGGCAACCACACAGTGATGTTTCTCCCCCTCTCTTTTTCCTTCCCTTCCCCACTCTCTAAAAATAAATAAATAAAATCTTTAAAAAGAAGAAGAAGACACATACCTCTCCTCTGGCCACACACACATACACACACACACTACACACTTGAACAAATGGATGAACTCCCTTTGGAGTAGAAGTCTAGAAGGATAAGGGTCTCAGAACTTAACAGCCGTAAGAACTGAAAGAAGGAGCAACCAGAACCAAGCAGAAAACAAAATTTAAGCTGAGGCTCCAGGTGGGGTAGCCCCTGCACCCCAGCTCAGGCCCACAGGAAGTGGCCTCTGGCCTGGGCTGTGCGTACCTGATATTTTCATTCAGTGCATAGAGCTCGTTGCTTTGCAAGCCTCCACCTTTGAAGACGTTGATCACAGCTGTCTGGACGCTGCAGGGAATAGAAACATCTTCTGGTTAGGGGATCTGCCTCCCCAGGGCCACCTCAAGGAGCAGCCGAGGGCTGAAGGGGGCTGAAGGGGCCAAAACCCTGCGGCGTAAACACGGCCACGGTTCCCATCCCTGAGACCCATCATTTTCCTCCCAGGGTGCCTGGAGAGGAAGGAAGACTGAAGTCAAGAGGACCCAAAAGCAGCCCCTTCCCGACATCCCCCTGCCAGGCTGACAGTCATCCGCCCTCACCTAGCTCCCTGGCGGCCCTGCTGGGGAGCGGCAGTGACAAAGGTCAGGCAGTGGGATCGGCTCAGGAAACTGCAAGGCCAGCACCACTGGGCCTGGAAGGGTCTGCACAGGTGTTGACTGCAAGCAGCAGCCGCCCCATGCCTGGGGCTCCTTCACCTGGGAGGCGCCGTCTTCAGAGGGCAGCCCCGGGCTAATAAGAAATGATCACTCCTTGCCTTTTTTTTTTTTTAACAGTACTTTCCTCAGAAGCCTCCCACCTGGCTCTACCCTCACGTGCCCCTTTCATCCTGACCCCTGTGAGGTGTACAGACAGCACAGTTAACCCCTCAAGGGGCCACAGTGAAGTCTCGACTCCGCCTTCTCTGGGATCCCAGCCCAATACTTCAGCAAGGAGCTGATTACAAGCTTGTCTTTACCAAGGGATACAGGCCCCTTTTTTAAAGAACAAGGACCCAGTTAACATCAAAATATTTCAGAGCCCCTTCTCCCTCCCCATCATAAGAGTTGTTCACTCACTGAGAAAATCCATAATGATCCAAACTTCTGATCCAAAAGGAGTCAGTAATGCTTTCAAATAATGATGCATTTAATTTATCCAAAGAGTAAGTACGTATCGATTTGAAAAACTGTGGCCCTCAGGAGCACAAGAGAGAGGACCAGTTCTTTCACTCAGTGCTGGGTGTGCACAGGTCAGCCGACACCTTATGAAACAAGCCGAGTGCCTCCTCTCCCACCCACCTGTGACTCACTGGTGAGGGAATGATCTCTGGTTTATGCTGCTCAGCTTTTCACAGATACCTGTCTTATCTTCCCAAAGAGGTGGAAGGGGGTTTGAGGTTACGTATACAGTCCCCCCCTTGGGTCCTCTGAGTTGGGGATGTGACAAGTGAGCATGAAGAGTAACTGTAAGTTCCAACCCATCTGTCCCAGGCTGGTCAACTGACTCTGCTAGCCCAGAGGCCCCCAGTGGTCCACTCTGCCTCTTCTAAATGGATATATTCTCTGTAGGGAAACATCCTCTCTTCACGAATTGCCTCTAGAACTATGACCTTCTGAAGCAGAGATGTCAGACGCAGCAGAAGCTCAGCCAGGCCCTGGCCCTGCTCTGGCCCTTGGCCACCCCCTACTCCACACCTGGGTGCCTCCTTTACCTGTTCCAGGCCGAGTTGGAACTCAGCTGCAGGGCCTGCCGCGTGGCCTGGAATCGGGGCAGGTCGCTGAGCACTGGAGAGCTCATGAAGCGTGGCCTGGGCCTGCGGAAGGAGCCCATCTTGTGGAGCTCGGTGGGCAAGCCGGGGACGAAGCCGCGGGTCATAAGTCCAGGTGAGGGACGGCTTCTCCTCTGGAGCAGAAGGTTCCAACTGCCCACAGAAAGGGCTTATCCCAGGGCTGCTGCCTTCAGGCTCTCAGGTGCTCCACAAATTCAGCCAACATCTGAAAAGAGAAGGCAGCTTTTATTGAAAACTCCTAGGCTGAGCAGACCACCTCTGAGCGGAAGTTAGCTGGGACTTTCCAGCCAAACTATCCTAAAAACAACTCTGGGTCTCCCCAGTAACCTCTGTACCCTGCAGGTTCCCAGTCACAAGCTTTCGGGTTAAACAGTGTGGTCGCCCCAAAGTAGGAAGGCCGTGCCCATGGCCCAGGTTGAGACCAGCCCTACAGAAAAGTGATGTCTAAGTGTGCTTGACTGTGGCCCCTACGCACACCCACCGAAGTGCGGGCACGGGCTGCATTTCTGTGGCCCCCACGATGCTGCGCCTTAAAAGCCAGCCCCTGTGCACTGCTCAGTATTTCCTAACGTCTCTGTGCCTCTTCGCTCAGGCACATCCGCCTCCACCCCTTACCCGCCATTCATTCCTCCATCCCATCAGAACTGATTGATTGAGTGCTTACCGTTGATTAATCACTGGGGCATCAAAATATTTCTAAGACCCAGTCCCTGCGCTCCAGAGGCTCATGGTCTGCAGAGAAGATAACCGTCTGTTTGTGTAATCATCCACACAAGAAATATTTAGGGAGCGCCGACTATGCAGCAGGCCCTCACTCGGGCCCTGGGGATATAATGGTGGCCCAGGAGACCGCGGTCCCTGCCCTGGGCAGCTTACAACCAGCAGGCCCTGTTCCATATCGACATTCTCACTCCCTTTCCCAGGCTTTCTGATTGTCTCTACTGCTCCTCTTACCCAGAATTCCTTCCTTTTCCTCTCCACTTATCTAAATCTAACTCACCTTGCAGGACTGGGTTCAAGGATACTGTCCCCTGAGCAGTTCTTGGAACTTTATAGCTTCCTGGTTAATGGCAATGGCTTGGCAGTGAACCTTGGTTCGAGACTCAACGAGGCCACTCCCAAGTTGTGAGACTCCGGGCACAGGGAGTCTGACAGTCCCCAGCTGTCAGCGCTGAAAGCATCACAGGACTGACAAGACCTGAAATGAGACCGTGTGACATACCTTTCAGGGCTATTCCCTCCAGACCGATCGCTTTCTTTCTTTTTTTTTTTTTTTTTTTTACTTTCAATTTTATTCCGTATTGGTTTCAGGTGTACAGCTCAGTGGTTAGACAGTCGTGCACTTGACACAGTGTTCCCCTCGACATTTCCAGTGCCCGTCTGGCACCACACAGACTCTGTTTCCTGTGCTGCACTTGGCACACCCATGACTGTTTGGAATTCCCAACTTTTCAGACCAGTCGCTTTCTTTCTCGGCACCTCTGGACCCCTGTCATTTCAGTCCCTTATTCTTTAGTGCACTCAAAGTCCCAACTGCTGACGTAAAGTGAGTTTTGGAGCTGATCAGAGTGAAGTACAGAAGGAAACACCACAGACGTTGAGTCACTTTTTTCTCCGGGGTTTGACAGCCTAGCCCAGAAGTATTCTCACTGCCGCCTCTCTCAGCAGCGAGCTCTGCTATGTCCCCCAAACCAACGCTGCAAGATCAATGTCTACCTTCAGGATGGGAGAGGGTGAAGCGTTTGCAGCCCCAGATGTAGCATTTGAAGAAGGAGAAACCGAGGTGTCATCCCCCAATCAAATGCTTCAGAAGAGGCATGAGGCTGAGAGACTGGCACAGACAGAGGCCATCTAACCGGAGGGCATGGGAGGGCTCGGCAGCTGTCTACACTATAGGCAATGGTCACCGTGACAATGAACTTGTAAGACCAAGAGCCAAAGAAGGAACGGCTTGCCCTACACCTGTGGAATTTAAAGAGAAGCAGACTTGTGCACCATTTTCTTTTACCATCTTCTGTCCCTCCACCCCCTTCTCAGAATGAGTCAGTAGTGACAAAATCTATCAGTGAACACCGGGGAAGTCATAACATGCCTGCTCAAGTTTCAGAGGGTCTCAGGAACTCCACAAGTGCCACTGGAATCTGGAAAGCACTGTACAAATCAGCAAAGGTGGCACCGAAGCCATAAAACCACGGACGCCTCTTCAGAATCCTTAAACTGCCTGGTTTGGGGATTTGACTTGCCCGGCGAAGGCCACACTATAAAGAGAGAATCCATTCTGCTGCCTTCTTTAAATGGACCTGCTAAGTGCCACTCATCTGTGTAATTACAGGATATTACTCCTTTTACGAGAATCTTAAACTTGAGGTGATGGAGCTGCCTCCCACTCCGTGGCGGTGGTATAGGAAAGGAGAAAGGTGAGCTGAATGAATCACTTCGGGTGTTTACCTTCCGGCTGCCTGCCAAGACAACCACTTCTCCAGGAGGCTGTGTGACACTGGGGATCACAGGGCTGGCTCCTGTCCCCTCCACTTCTCAGGTGGTGTCCCCCCAGGCCTCCCACTCCAAGCCACGTACGCATCCAGCAAGACGCATAGGCAGCCTCACATACACAGATGACCCTTCTTAAAGAAGGGTAATTTTCAGCCAAAAGACACGAGGACTGCAGCTCCCACAGCCTCCCATCAGCTGCAGAGGATCACACAACCAGGAGCTTCCTCTGACTCATTTCTCACCGGAAATCTGCCACCCTCAGACCCTGACGGGCTGGAGAAAACCCAAAGCCCACCGCCCCGACTTCTGGACAGGCCCCTGCAGAGCACCACAAGGAGGAAGCTGCTGGCAGCGCCATCAAGAGTGGCCAGAAGGGGAACACTGGCGCCCTACGTCCCCCTTCTACAGCACTGGCCCCACAGGCACAGGCGTGTCCTGAATTAACTGTGGCAAATCAGAAAGTGACAAGACAGATGGGGCCTTGGAGTGCTGCCACCCCAGGACCCCATTTACAGGGGAAGCCCAGAGGAGCAGAGGAACCTGTCCAGTGTCACCGAGATGGGGGAGGCTAGTGGGCTGGAACTCGGGTCCCCTGACTCCTGATCTGGCCCCCAGGCCCGACCCAGGCAGTTCTGTAAACTCCTTGAAGACAGACACGGGTACTACTCATCTCTATCCTCAAGCTTAAGCGTACTGCTTGAGAGGTAAGGATGAAGGGAAGGAGAGCCCCTAACACAGCACTGACTGCCTGCCGGACAGGATGACAAGCACAGCCACAGAGGCTAAACATACTCAAGCCTCACAAAACCCCACTGGAAAATCGGAGAGGTTAATAACCTGCCAGAAGTCACACAGCTAATAATAAGGGGCAAGTCACAGAGAGGTGGCCAGACTGGCCTAAGGCTACAGCCCATTCCCACTTAGTCAAGCTACCAAACTCCGCCACGAAATCAGAATTAAACAGACCAAGTGAGTCAGGGAACACTCAGTCGCAAGATTTCCTATCAAAATTTAAATCCCATGCCCCTGAGATAAACTGACATAAGAGACTCTATGATGGGGGCATAAGAGACACATTTGATGGGGGCTAGAGGAGCAGGATGAATGGAGAAAGCATGGCCCGCCCTAGTTATACATTCTCCCCTTATGAGCTGTGTGACCTGGGGCAGGTTATTTAACCTCTCTGAGCTTCCACTTCCTCCTGAATGAAATAAGCACCAAAACAGTGATGACCACCAGACTGCATGAGGATAAAAGCACTTAGAACAGTGCAAGGCAAACAGCAAATGCTACATCCTTGCTTGTTAAATGAATAAAACAAAATATTTCTAAATCTCCATGCGAGGGCATTAGCAAGAACACAACACTCCCACCTGCTTATGGTGGGTGACCTCAGCAATACCTGGAAACTGCTGGGGAAGAGCGAGGTCTCTAGTCCTGGTGGTGGTCCCAGTGCATTGGGGCCTTGCCTCCGCGGGCCTTTGGTAGCTCGTGGTGGTAATTACTGACCTTTCATGTCTGTGTAGTGCGCTCCTCACTTTCGGAGTGTTTCCACACACCATCACCCTTCCGATCCTTACTCTACCCCTATAAGGCAGGTCGAGCGGGAATTCTGTCAAACTAGGAAAACCGAGGTCCCATCAGGCTACGTGACGTGGCCAAGGCCGGAGAGCTTTGGGTCCGGGAAGCAGACCCAGCTGAGCATCCTCCAGCCTCAGGCCCAGCCAGCCATGCGCGCCCTGCTGAGCAAGTCTCCTTTTCCCCTCTGTACGTTTTTAAATATTTCCATGATGACACAAACTTAAAAAGGAGTTTGTACACACACAAACACATACACCTTAACTGAGGATAAAATAACTACCGCCAACTGAAGAAATAGAATGTTACCTTAGAAATCCCATGTGCTTCTACTTTTCCAATGTCGGCAAACCTGCTTATTTATCATCAAAAGGGTAAACACGCAGAAGTCTACGACATAGAAAGCGAAAGGTCTCCCTCTGGCCCTGTACTCATGCGGGGACCGGCTGCCCAGGACTTTCTGAGATGACAGAAACGTTCTCCAGATGCGCTGTCTGGTGTGACAGCCACCAGCCACGTGTGCCTGGCTACTGAGCCCTTCAAATGTGGTTTCACGGCTGAGGAGCTGAATTTTAATGTCATTTCATTTTTAAGAACCATACATATGTGCACACTTATTATTTTTAATAAAAATGGGTAAGTTGTTCTTTTGACAATACATCATGGCCAGCTTCCCATATCACTATATATTGATCTACTGCATTATTTGTAATGGTTTCTTAACTATTTCATTTAGGGGATACCATACTTATTTAACCAGTTCCCGTACGGGTGAATATTTCAGTAGTTCCCAGCTTTTGTTACTGCAGAGAAGGAGCATATCTGCCCTTTTTAGCAACCACGTGACCATCTGTGTGGAGTACGTTCCCAGAAGTGGAACTGCTGGGTCAAAGGGCCCAGTGCTTTTTAGCTAGCTCCACACTGTGACGAACACCCGCCCCACCACAGCCCAGAAAGTGCACCAGGCCTCAAGCTCCGAAGCAGGAGTGATCTCCAGAGGCTTTGGAATCAAACAAACCCTGGCACTGATGCTCATTCTGCCACTCACTGACTGGGGTGCACAGGAAAACTGATGCCCCAAAGATAGAGTCACCTCTTAGTCCCCAGGACCTCTGAACATTACTTTAGATGGCAAAAGATGTGACTAAGCTAAGGATCTCGAGAGAAGGAGTTTGTCCTGGAGGGTCCATGTGGGCCCATAAATACAATCACCTGTAAGAGGGATGCAGAAGGAGACTGGAGACAGAAGAGGAAAGACACGCAGGTTTACAAAGAGGAGAAGGTGAAGTGAAGGTGGGAGGCAGAGACTGGAGGGATGCAGCCCCGAGCCAAGGAATGCCGGCGGCCACCAGAGCGGAAGAAACAGATCCCCCAGTCAGCTAGAAATTGGGATGCTGTGGGCGAAAAGGAAGGGAGGGAGAGAGGGAGGGAGAAAGGGAGGGAAGGAGGGAGGAAGGGAGTGTCCCCTAGAGCCACTGGAGGGGATATATGGCCCTGAGACCCCTTGATTCTGGACCACTGACCTCCAGAACTGTGAGAGAATAAATTGCTATTGTTTTTAGCCACCAAAGTTGTGGAAATGTGTTATTGCAGCCACAAGAAATGAATGCACTCATTGTGCAGCCTCATCACTCTGAACTGCAGCCCCTACATTTGAAAAATGCAAATAGCCAGACCTACCTTGGAGAGTTGTGGTGACGAGAAAGGCTGCCTATGAAGTGTCTGGCACGATTCCTGCAACTATGCATGTTCTAGGCGCAGGTGCAGTAGAGGTGTAGGCAAAGGTGCCAGAGTCACGCTTACTCTGTGTAACCGGGGCAATTGACTCAGGATCGGTATGGGGTTGGAGGGAATGATTCAACTAAGGTTTAAAATGGTCCTGGTGTGCAGGAAGTACTTGATAAATGGTACCCATTATTTATTTTTTATTACCACCATCACCACTGTATTAGTCTTCTAGGGCCGCTGTAACCAAATACCACAGAGTGAAAGGCTTAAACAACACACATTCATTTGCTCGCAGTTCTAGAGGCTGACACCAGCCAAGGTGTCAGCTGGTTTGATTTGTTCTGAGGCCTCGCCTTCACTTGCAGATGGCCACCAACTCACGGTGCCCTCACTCGGTCT